AATAGTCAAATCGATCTTAAATTTAAAGCCTATTCCATATTGGAATTCTTACTGTTGGTATGTTTATAGCCCAGCTTATACATAGATCCTTGTAAAATCTGGCTGACGTAGCACTGTAGCAGTACAATTTATATGTACGTACACTTGATCACTCCACCACAAACCCTAAGTGTATTGTCAGATGTATGGAGGGAAACAATACGATTTGTCGCCGCTATTGTTTCGGTGCGGGCATTGTGAGACGCGGGATTGAGCGCGTTTAACGTATGACGGATTTCCGCATGGAATTTTTCTTATTATTTTTTTTAAAGATCACGTTCCATATATATCTCCAAGTGAACAATCGCCTCGTTTATTGTAATGAACGACTTACGTAGAAACTACACAGGGCCACGAAACAGCTGTTCGCCGTCGCACAAATGGGCAGGTCCATCTGAGTAAGTACCATGACCTCGCAGAAGATCAGCGTAAAGAAGTATGACACTTCCATTGTAATACTTCTGAGTTTCATCTGGTGATTGAGGTAGCTGAGGCTACCTGTTTTTGTAAGGATTACACTTTATTATAAGATGGCAACGCATCTGAAACGCTACGGTTGTTGCAAATGTCAATGGGCGGCTTCTCACATAAAAAAAATCTTTCCCGGTAATTGGTTTCCGTAAATGACGAAAATCGGTAAATTAATTATTGCCTACTCAAAATATCTGGTTTTATACACAAATTGTGTTTCTAAGCATTATTATGAATGTAGTGTCAATTACATCTTGATTTTATAAATAATATAGCCGATAAAGATGGTCGTATGAACTTTATTTTTTATTCTGTTTTGCCGATAACCTTATTTTTAATACTCAAGATTACTTATTATACTCATCAAATATATTTAAAGAATAAAATTAATAATTCAAGTTCGATACATAATTCGTACGAAATCATAATACCTGAACTTCTAAATTTTAGTATTGTAAAGCTTTTCTTATTTTAAAAATCACACTATATTTTATAATTTGCTATTCACATCACACAAAGTATTATCAACTATTGGGGATTGTTAAAATTTTTAAGCAATACGTGTAACTAACGAAAGAAATGTTAAAATAAAAATTTTAGTATTTTTACGGGCAGTCGTTATTGAAATAGTAACATTGAAGAGATGGAAACCGTGTTTTGAAGTAGGCTGCGCTTTACGTCGTCCATTATGCGTGCAGCATAGAGCGACACAATTCTCCGGGGAGCGTATTTCCGTCTGAATTAATATAGATGTCTCCAAAGCACTAGTGAATAGACTGGGCACTGAATGTGTTTTACCTTACACGCCTACACCGCCATGTAACCTCAAATCATGTGGTAGCTAAGCACTGCCCACTTTATACTGTCCATGATACGTAAAAGTATTAATTACGCCGTTGAATGTTAAAAGTGCGCGGCAAGCCTGACATTAACGGGATTAATGGAAAATGTTTCTGATTCCAGTGACAGTGTCATATTTTTACTATACCATGATAGCTCAGTATTCAATATACTCAAGCAACTTGAGTTCGATCCCTGGTGCCGACACCAATGAAGTTGTTAATTTTAAGTGCCGACTTATAACGTGCTCTGCGGGCGGTGTAGGAAAACAACGTGAGGAAACCTGCATATTTTCGAAATAAGAACAAAAAAAAATATGTGGGTGGGGGGGGCCGCGTGGTGGACTATGCCCTGATGCCCTCTGTACAGAGATATCTTTGCCCATCAGTGGGACATGTGTATACTGTTACTTAACTTTTTTAAGTATAAAAAATTGCCAAGCTTCAGAGGAGTGTAACTTGGGGCACGAAGCTGGAACGTTGAATTTAAGTTAAACGGTATTATGTTCAAATCTATTGCAGTAGATAGTATTGGCAACACTAAAGGAAGTCATTTCTTCAGGTTGTTGGCAATACTAAAAGAAGTGTCATTCTGTGGGGTATAAATGAAGCTGCAAGAAGCATTTCGTGGACTTCGTCTTCTTCTTTGGCTGTCAAACCAGAAGTATACACGATAGTGCTGCCCAATTGGTATCATAAATTAAATCGTTAGTGTGGTGTTTCATTCGTTTTAAAGTGATAAAATTGCTCGATAAAACAAAGTATAGCTAACAATAGTTGGGCTACGCCATAAAAACCTATCTTTCGATTTCCTGATGAATGATCGAATCGTCAGGGCACGATACCGGGAGACGTGGGTTCGATTCCCGCACCGGCGAAGATTTTTTCGTCCATTATTTTTAGCGAACTTTAATATTTCACTAGATATTAGCACTATAAAAAGTTAACATAAAATTTAGTTGCAAAATTAGTTGTCGCTTACCACAACCCGCAATCTATCCCGCTTGTAAATAAATGATCTCAGTATATTGTTGATATAGCTGTCTCTTCACCACGTTAGGGTCGAAAGCCGTAAGGGCTTCTCACGTCTGGAGGACTCAGAGTCGTTAAATAAACAACGCCTCCCGCGAGCACGGCACCCGGGCGGCATATTAACGCGGGCCTTAAACGCGGATTGGCTTTGGTTTATACGTGCGCTAATTTAATTTTACGCCCGGCCGCCACGGTCGCCGCCCGTGACTGGAAAAGTAAATAATGTTGCGACCGTTTTGATTGCGGTCGGGCGCGAACAGCGGAAGTTTGGGGCCGAGGCGAGAAGCTGGAAGATCTAAGGGCCTCCCTCGGCGCACTTATCGTATTAAGTACTTTACTGTACATATACAGGGTGGCTTTTCTAAAGATGCCCAAATTTACACAGGAGGTTCAGACTCGGTACTATAATAGTTTATTGAAATAAAAACAAACTTTTTTTCATAAAATACTTTTGAAACGAACTTGTGTGCGTGTTAGTTATGGAATGATCGCGCGTATAATAAATGAGTTCCCCATAAATCACGCACTTTTTGAGATAAGTTAAAATAAATGTAATTAATTAATTATAATTATAAATAATATTTAAAATAATCACTCGTAATTAATTAATTATTAATTATAAATAATATTTAAAATAATCACTCGTAATTAATTAATTACGAGTGATTTTAAATATTTATCATTTTATGTAACATTATTTATGTCCAGAATTTAATTTAAAAAAATGGATACACTTAGAAAAACCTCCCTGTATATACAGCGCGTATTTAAAATCGTGACGATAAATGAACACACATATAGAGGATAAGTTTTTAAAATTGTATTAAACATGTACATTCTTTAAACATCAATATTTACAGGGTTATTAAATTTTCCAAATCAATCAATTTAAGAACAGCCACGTATAAAACTGTATCGTAAAGTTCATTTGTAAAGGGCACAAAGCATATGAATAGGTTGAATGAATTTAAAAGAGACAAAACATACTGTTAGAAGGAAAGGCTTGTAATGCGACACTGTGGCAACGAATGAAAAAGCCTCTGAATGTATGAATCAGTCAGTTGTACAAAATTTGTTTTTTTTTTTTTTTTTTACTTAATTAGTTTGTTTGAAAAAATATTTTTTTTTGATTATGGATTTTTTTACGTTAATATTTTTTTATGATTATTGGCAAGTAGCGTAAGACGTCTATTCATTTATTGTCGCGATGGTAACGACACGCTGTATATATAAATTATTAAAATAAACGTAAAATATTTTAGGACACATTTTTACACAACGTTATCCAGTCCCAAACTAAGTATCTCTGGTATTCTGAATACTAGATAACTGATGAACATACTTTTCTTTTCTTTATAACCACATATTATATGTAATAAACACCCAGACATAGGAAAACACTATGTATGAACATATTTTCCAATAGTGGGGATAGAACCCACACCCTCTGGCACAAGAGGCAGGTTAACTACTCACTAGGCCGTTCAGATCGTCAAGTTTGAAAGCTTATTTTGTTGCCGTCATGGCTCCATGCAGGCTCTGGAAATTAATTTATCGCGCTATTTAATATATAGTATATATTAAGTACCATATCACACGATGTAAAACATGTTCTCACTGTCAAAAATGTTAATAAAATGACCCGTGGAGTTTCTTTCGCCGGTTCTTTGCAGGTCATGGGGTTTTCTTTTGCGAACCGACGGTGATAGTATTTTGACTATCAATAAGTGAGTGTAATATATTTTATATTACTTTATTGTAATATATAAATATATTTGAGTTTAAAGTTACGATGTAGAAAAGATACAATAAAGACGTGGTATATAGAAATGTTGATGTTAGAAAGTTAAGAAATTTTAAATACAGGCTGGCCGTTTTGAAGATCGAAATTTTTCACTCTTTTAAGAATTCTCAATTCTAGGTATGTTATTATGTAAATAATAAAACATTATAATACTCCTATCAAAATTACGAGCGCAAGTTATGATAAATATGAGTGAAATTATCCTTTGTATTATTTAAAAAAGAATAACAGAACACATTATTAAATATTACAATTTATTTATTTATTTTCCACTATTTACATCTTAAATGCCCATAAATATCACAATTAAAACATTTAAAGTCACAATTTATGTTGAATTATGATAACTGTCTACGTGATTATTATAAATAAACTTTAATTTAAAAATAACATTACTCCTGTGAAACATTGTCTAATAATATTTATCATATACATACTTAGTTTTACGTTCACGACTGTACATTTATGAATCTACGTGATTAAGATCACTAAATATTTAAAAACAAACAACTGACGAAAACGAGCGTCAGTATGAATAAGCATTTATTCGGAAACGATTTTTGGTCCTACATTTTTAAATGCCGCATTAAATCCCTTCGCTATTACAACAAATCCCCAAATGTCTACACAAGCGGCAACACACTCATTCAATCAAAAAAGGACAGTAAAACACAAACAGCCATCCTACAATACTAGAGGCCCACAAGTTAATAAAGACTATTGAAATCTTCAAGGATTTTTTTTATAATACAGGGTGTACAATTTCGAACAGCGAACAGAATACGATTTTTGTTTCCTTTTATTACTTGCGACTAAGACGAAATTATGATCAGTAAGGCGTATAGCAGAACAGCAGCTGATGTGTGTGCGGCCTGCGAGGCTAATGCCGAGGCCGGGTTCCGTACGCAGGCGCGAAACTCGTGGTAGTCGGCCCGGGTTATCGCACAGTAGTGGACGTGGGCACATGTCGCGTCACAATCGCTGACGTCTGTGGTGTGACGCACGCGCAACGCTGTTAGGTACCTGGCGAGTGAAATTGAAGGCTTTGAAGAATTGAAGACCAGGGAAACGTCTTTGATTCGATTGATCTTGATAGCGAGGTAAAATCTGCCCGCATGTTGTATGCGACAGTAATATCATTGGGTTTACACATTTCACTCGATAAACAGATTTTCTCATAATTTTATCCAGGGCCAGATTTAGAGGTCTGAAGTCCTCAAGGCAACAGGGCAGCTGGAGGCCCTTGGACCCAAATTATTTTCCAAATAAAATGAACAATTTTTTTCAGTAGGGTCTTCCAATAAATAATTTATTGTGTAACCATAAATATAATCAGAAACAAGAATTATCTAAAATTAAATTTTAGCATTAACGAACGGAACTTGTTTACTAGTCTGAATTTGAATTATTTTTTTCCGAATTCTCTATTGTGGTGGCCCCTCTTTTGCGGAGGCCCCGGGGCTGTAGCCCCGGTTGCCCTCCCCTAAATCCGGCCCTGATTTTATCATCAATTTTGAGTGTCTTACTCGATCGACTTTTATGGATTTTTACTCCTTTAATTTTGTATTTTAATACCGAATTTCACGGGACAGACTAGGGCGTTTTTTCGTCAAATAAATAAATTACTGCAACTTGACGGGTCCCTAGATAATGACAAAAAAAAACATTAACAATTCGTAACATTAGTTTCGTTTAACATTGTTCATTATTTGTGTACATTGTTTGTATAACGAGGATTATACGACGATAAATGACACAGCTTGTAAATCAAAAGCTATATTTCCGTAGGTCGCTTTGCAAGTTTTAATAAATTTGGCCGAGGGCTCAAACGTTTCATGTTTACAAAACTTTTCTAACTTTTGATATCAAATTCTGGCTCTCAGATAGTTTAATTAAGAAGTTGAAGTGAACTTTCTTGGTTTATACGAGTACACAAAAATTGGGAATGATCAATTGAATATCACTTACTTTGTGAACAATGTCCGGTCGTGGTAATTTCGGATTCTCTCCGCCAGAGCATCTAACGAAGTAGCGCTTATTTCCCTCAAGCCATAATACTGTGTTAGGTTATATTCTATAGCCCAATGTAGCTCCCCTCTGGAGTTAGTTATATCTAAATAATACTGAGTGTAGTCTAATACCTAGAAAGGAATAGCAGATTCTGATAAAGACTTGAGACTTTAAATTGAGAAATCAATAATGTTTATGTGTTCGTTTTATGTGTTTAGTTTTTTTTTTATTTTAATTGAAAGTGAGAAACAAAACCACATTTCAGCAAAAGTGGCTTGATTACAAAAATATTCTAAAAATTAAAAATGAACGCAATAACAACTCGTCAAAAATTATTTCCTTATATTTTCGTAATTAAGTTAAAATTCAATTACTTTTTACAAGTTCTTATTTAGTGTATTATAATATAAAAAAAAAAACGAGGTAATCAGGTTAAACTACATTTTCCAATGAAAGAGTTAAGAATGCTGATTTTTGTATATTGCTCTTACCTTTCCAGTGTTAGAGTCGAATTTGTAAAGCCTTAATCCTGGATTGGATATGCTGCCTGATCCTCTGGGTGTCAGGGATGGTGCCAATAGTGCCCATGATACCGGCCGTCCTAGAACAAACAAAAATGTTCAATTAAAAAGTTAAAAATATGAATTAGAAAGCAAAAACTCTGATCAATATAACTAGAAAATTGATTAAAAAAATTATCATTATAACCGTGGATCCAATACATATGGCATAGGGAGACATAAGTCTTGTGACATAGAAAATTATATTCTGCTACCGGTCCCTAAAATTACTTTAAAAGCATTCGAATCGCTGAAACCCAATAATATAAGTATGTTATAAAATTCGGTTAATAGACTAAAACCTTATTGTCGTCTAATTGCATCAAACATTATAAACTTGTTATAATTTTCCTTCGTGCAATTAGTCCACTTATGAAATACGTAAATGAATTGAATTTAAGTAATTAATTACCCATAGAAATAATAAATAACTGATAACTTGGCAAAAAATTAAACACCGTGAACAAAATACCAGTTATTTTACTGTAAAGTTCACCTGATAAAAAAGTAGGTACTTTCCAATTAATAAAAACTTATTTAAGAATAACGAAAAGTACTTACTAATAGCAAACAGCAATATTTAATTTCGCAAAGCTTCGTTACCCGGTCTAATTACAAATTTTTCTCGGAATATAATTTTTATTCTTTTTACGAAAACGTGATTCTTTTCGGAAAAATATAATACAAAGATTCGTTTAATTATTTATTAACTCTATATAAATATTTAGGCAACCAAATTTTCAGTTTTAAAAGTAATTGAGCACAAGTACCCTTGTCCCCGAAAAAACTCAAAATAAATTATAAAAAAAATCAACATTACTCTCTTGTTCCAAAAGCCTGTGAAGCAAAAGGTTCTGTTGCTGCTTAAGTGGTAAAACTTAACTATAGATAAATATATTATACGCTATAATGATTAAACATATCATATCCTAGTATCCGTAGTACAAGCTAAGCAGCCCTTGTACTATGGGTATTAGATAACTGATAAACATACTTAAACATACTTTTCTTTTGAAAATAAATACATATTATAAATATAGATGACTCCGTGGCGCAGTTGCCAAGGTGTTGGCTTCGGCGTCGGGGGTCGTGGGTTCGATTCCCACAGGGGACAACTATTTGTGCGACTCACAGATAGTTGTTTCGCATCTGGGTGTTTGTACGCGTGAAATTTATGTTTGTAAAACGTCCCTACAACACAGGATAATGTTAACCTAAAGTAAGGGCAATGTTTTTTTAAAAAACAAAAAAATATATATATAAACCCACACCCTCTGGCGCAAAAGACACTGTCCACTACGCCAGTTGGGTCTGGATAAATACAAGTAAATAATGGCAGTGCCACTTCATCTTTATTTTGAGTCCCTCAGTTCCAGACCATGTCTACAGCTCTACTTAACAGGCAGGTTGAAATTAAAAGAAAGAACTGATATTGTTGCACACTCTGTTGAACGACTATGTGAGATTGCATGTGCAGAGACAGAAGAATATTTATTAATGTGTATTTATAGACCACCCTCATCTGATCTTATAAATTTTTTATTAATTATTGAAGACATCTTGATTAAAATATTTAAAATAAAAAAGCATATAGTCATTTGCGGTGATTTTAACATTGATTTACTGACAGATTCTCCAGATAAAGTGAGATTTCTGTCACTTCTTAAAACATTTAATCTTTACTGTGTCTTCGATGAACCAACAAGAGTAACCCCATCCTGTGCCTCTTGTATAGATAATATTGTAGTAAATTGTAAAATTGTAAACCAAGAAATATTGAGTGGTGTTAGATCTGACCATAAAGCCCTTAAAATAGACATCTATGTTAATAACAAAAACAATGTTATTATAAATGAGTGTAGGCTTATAAATAAATTCAGAATTAAACAGTTTAGAGATAGCGTCAAACACAAGCTACCCTTATTAAAATTAACTAATAATGATCCCGATGACAATTTCAATGCCTTGTTTACTATGATTACTACAGAATTTAATAAAATTATGCCGAAAAGAAAAACTATAACTTAAGGCAATAAACTTTGCTTTAGTGAGTGGGCAACTAAGGGAATTAGAAAGAGCAGGGATAAACTATATGATCTATATGGTATTAAGTCATTATCTTTTGATCCTAACTTCCATGAATATGTTAGGAATTATTCAAAAATTTTTAAAAGGGTCTGTACTTTAGCTAAAGCAGACTATTTGAGTAATAAAATTAAATTGTCTTCAAATAAAGTTAAAAGTACATGGAATGTAATAAATAAGGAAACTGGCAAAAATAATGGAATAAAGGCAGATTTTACATTAAAAGTTAATGGCAAAGTTATAAAAGAAAAATGTAAAGTTGCAAATGAGTTTCTTAATGTCTTCACAAATATACCTTGTGAAACTACTAGACATTTGCAACACTGTCCCACAGAGGCAGTAACATATCTCGATAAATATGTTAATATTTCTGTTCCAGATTTTAAATTTTGTCATATAGGCCCGAATGATATTATTAAAACATTTAAAAATCTAAATAAAAAGAAAACAGAAGACTTATGGGGCTTATCATTATGGGCAATTGATCTTATAATCTATGACATTGCTTGCATATTAGCCCAAATATTTAATACATGTTTAGACAGTAGCAAATTCCCAAAGTTAATGAAATATAGCAAAGTTGTGCCAGTATATAAATCGGGTTCGAGAGATGATGCCTCTAATTACCGTCCTATCTCTATGTTGCCGGCCTTAAGCAAAGTGTTTGAGAAAATAATGCTGGATCAAATGATAGTACATTTTAACAAATATAAAATTTTAAACCAGCACCAGTTTGGATTTACTAAAGGTAGATCTACAACTGATGCAGGGATTGAATTAGTTTCATATATCCTGCAGTCCTGGGAAAGCTTTCATGACACCATTGGTGTGTTCTGTGACCTTTCCAAGGCATTTGACTGTGTAGATCATACAATTCTAATCAGGAAATTGGAATATTATGGTATTCGCAATTGTGCCATTGACTTTGTTTCCTCATATCTTACTGACAGGGAACAAAAAGTAATCATAAATGGTATATTGTCAACGGGGTCAAAAGTAAAAATGGGCGTTCCTCAAGGATCGATCCTGGGCCCTTTTCTGTTTTTAGTTTATATTAATGATTTGCCATATATAGTGAAAAAAAGGTCTCAAATTGTTTTGTTTGCGGATGACACTTCACTATTGTTTAAAGTTAAAAGGAAAGATGATGCACTGGAACCACCAAATGAAATACTAGATGTTGTGTCTGGCTGGTTTGCTACCAATAATTTACTTTTGAACTCCAATAAAACAAAATGTATTAGATTTACTCTTTCAAAGTTGTGTCACCAATCAGGAATCTCTATTGATGAGAAAATCCTACCCCTTGAGGATTCAACAGCATTTCTTGGAATAAGCGTTGACTCCAAGTTGCAATGGGGATTACATGTAGATAAGTTAGCTAAGAAATTGAGCGCTGCCGTCTTTGCCATACGCAAAATCAGGCAGCTAACTAATGAGGAAACTGCAAAATTAGTTTATTATGCTTATTTTCACAGCATAATGTCCTATGGTGTCTTACTTTGGGGTTCCGCATCCGGTCTAGACACAATATTTGTATTACAAAAGCAGGCTATACGGGCCGTCTATGGCTTGGGTCCACGTGAGTCGCTACGACAAACATTTAAGCAAATAAACGTCTTGACGCTCCCGTCGCTTTACATACTTGAGAACATCATGTATGTACGTAATAATATCGACCTATTTACGAAAAAAAACAATCCACATCGCGTCGGGGCCGTGGTGACACTCTGGAAGTACCGAGGTTTAGATTAGCTAAAACCAGAAAGTCGTTTCTTGGAAGATGCATCAACTTTTATAATAAAATAGGTGACATCCACAAACAACTAAGTATAAACAATTTCAAACAATTTGTAAAAGCTACCTTAATGGCAAGGGCTTATTATAATATCCAAGAATACATAGAGGACAAGGATGTTTGGAAATGACTTTTGCTCTGCACTTGCAAGACCCCTGGTTGCTGCTGATTTTATACCCAAATAAGTGTGTATAATTGCATTAAAAAATATATATATATAACAAAAAGAACAAGACCGCAGAGTTTCTTGCCGGTTCTTCTCTGTGCAGGTCTAGTTTAGTGAACCGGTGGTAGATTTTTGTTGACGTTCAATAAGAGCTTAAGTTAGGCCTATATTGAATAAATATACTTTGACTTTGACTTTGACTTTGAGGTTACAAGTCACCTGTGTATTTGAAATCAGACGAAGGAACATTATTATAAATTTAATGATATGAAATATGATATTCAGTTTTTTTTTTTCTAAATCCAGTAACTTTCAGTATTGCCTCAATGCACTTAAACACGGGAGCACCTTCTGGATTCTACTCACCCTCGCTATAAACCAAACGGAAAGTATCAGCGTGACGATGTCCGTAGAACTGTCCTGCTATGACGTCACTAAAGGCTCTGATGACGTGCAGCATTCTGGCATTCGCCGTAGGGGTGAGTTCACCCCCGCCCGCAGCGGACGCACTGCCAGCATTGTGACGCTCTTCTACCCCAGGTCCAGCGTGTGCTACCAGATATACCTATGGGCGGTGACTTATTAGAAACTCTTAGTGCAGAATGTCACCTCAAAGGAATAGCTTCGTTTCGTAAAAGTAAAATATAAGATAATTTAATACATGTGACTTTTTATTTCATTATTTGGTTTATGATCAAATTAGTTATTAATTTCAGATTCAAAACAACAATAAATGTGTTCATCGGATTAATTCACATTGTTAATTGAGATTATATTATCATTTTAATCACGTTATTTAATAAAAAAAGAAAAGTTAAAAAATTAATCTCGGGAAATTTAAATAAAAAAAATATTTAATTCAAATTTCTCGAGGTTTCCAACAAAGTACTCAGCAAGGATCTTGCATAGAACGGAACAAAATAAATAATAGAAAGTCTCGAGGAAAACTACATTAGGACATCTGATACCTTAGCACGTTTTATGGCGTTGGTTGCTGGAAATATCGGGTATATATAATATATAATACAGCAAAGTATACAAGTTGTAAGATAAATTATGTTAACAGTTGTTTTAAAGAAGAACTAAAAGGTTGACTGGGAGATAATGTTGATGGCATTAAGTCCGCCTTTATACACTCATGTGTGTGCATAAAGAATTTATAATACTACACAGACGCCTCGTATAATAGTCTTAATCATTTTACCCTTTCATTTTTCCGCCTGGCTTTGCTCAAGACGTGTTCGAGCCACTCCCATTGGGCCCTGCCTCTGTGAGGGCCATCAGTTCTCGCTGCGCCGCCAGCCCATAAAACACTATTCAACACTATTATACGTAGTTTACTGTGCGACTGCTCTATAGTGTAATAGCCACCTATAAAAGAAAATGTCACAAGTAAATTCACTGCTTCCGAGTGAGCTCTTAAATTTTTGTTAGTTTAATTATTTGAACGTGTACTACAACGAAAGAAAGAAATAGAAAAACTATTTAAAAAAGACTTTACTTATAACAAATATGTAAATGTTACCCTTATGTATCAAAGCTCAGTAAAGTAAAAAGTAAAGTAACAGCCTATACATGTCCCACTGCTGGGCAAAGGCCTCCTCTATAGAGAGGGTATCAGGACATAGTCCACCACGCGGCCCCACTGCGGATTGGCGGACTTCACATATCTTCGAAATACATTTTTTTTTTGTTATGTTTTCGAAAATATGCAGGTTTCCTCACGATGTTTTCCTTCACTGCGGAGCACGTGATAAGTCAGCACTTAAAGTTAAAAACTTCATTGGTGCCGGCACCGGGGATCGAACTCAGGTTGCTCGAGTATATTGAATTAAAGGCGAGCGCCCGGACACTGAGCTATCACGGCTCTCAAAACTCAGTATATATGAACAAACAGCAGGGGCCCACTTTATTATAATTATGTTGCAATGGGCTGCGGAAATCACTTAACATCAGGTGAACCGCCCACCTCGTTTGCCACCTTCTTACATAAAGAAAAAAGACAATATTAAGTATTCGTTTGCTATTGAGCCTTATACACTTTAAGCGAATTTGATGTCTACTTTTTAATATTGAAAATACACGCGAAATACACTCAATATAATAGACATAATACACCAAATAAAATGTATTGAATGACGAATAAATGTAAGTGAGTAATCCATCGAAGAATTTAGGGCGATACTCTATTACACTTACCCATTTATTCCGTAAAACTTAAGTTGCAATTATGTTTATGCGATGCTATTTCTGATAAAATAAAATAAAAAATACTTGCCAATATTTAAAGTAGGAACCCAGTTCAAAATTTTCATCGTAGTAATTCATTTTGAGCAGTTAATAAGTTACTGTGACGCAGTTACCTCGACACCGCCGCGTTAGAGAATTCAACGACGGTTCAAAATACAAACAACGTATACAAGTACCGTTTATGAGCTCCGTTGAAACGGAATGTTATCACTTGGAATAGGTGTAATAAATGAACAGGCGGTTTACCAGTTTCGAAAGTCTGCAAAGCTTCCGTGGGCAGCCATTGCATCCACATGTCGACCAACCTCTTTGACGGTGGTGGGTCGTTATGCCCCAGCGCTGGGAATACGAACTGGCTGCTAAACGTCCTGCTCAGTATGTCTGTGACATTTCGGACAGCCTCCAGCTTAATCTCGTCGCTCAAGTGTTCCATTGACGACGACAAAATATCCCTATTGAAGAGGAATAATAATTATATTCTGCGCATCACAGTTAATACATTACTTATACAAATATCTCTGAGAATATATAATTTAACTAAATTTGTTATCTGATAACACCTTCATTTGTGAAACAATTTCAAACATTTTTTTTTAATTTGCCCAACAGTATACAAACAATATGTAGGCAAATTATAAATACAACTAGCTTTTTCAGAATTTACTTTGTCTATTTCATCTCTACTATATTTGCTATTATTTAAGGGGTTGGGATTATTCCAGCGCTCTATCTACGTTCATGATGTGCCTATATTAATAATACCGAGATGCTTTTGTCGATTCCAGTCATTAAATTCTTATTTATATTCCAACTATTCTCTACAACTAAATATACTTAAAGAAAGGATATCCTATACCAACCAAACTCAACCTACACTCTTCGATTTCAGGTTTAATGCATTTTTAATCCATTGACATGATCATCTAACGACAATAATCCATTTACCATTTTTGGTAAAACATAATGATTTCTATTTTATACTAGTTTATACTGACCCCGTCCAAAGCACAAACTCCAAAGTATCGGGATGTCGTTCCGCCATCAAAGCGGCCGCACTCTGTATCAGCGGCCAAGAGCTGTCACATGTGTGGTCACGGTGGCGTCCGTTCCGATGGTTGTGCTCTACGTGGGCATGATTGTGTCTGCATCCTGTATAAATTTACATTGTAATAATGCTAATCTCCGAACTTAAGATGAAACATTAAATTTTGTAGAACAAGTTCTTTTTATAACTACAAATAAAACCGACCTCAAATCTCGCTCAGTATTATTTTTATAATTAATTTTCTAAGTAATCTAAGTTTAAGTATCTCCGGAGCCCAAGATCCAATACCAATGAAATTAATAAGGGACCACATAGGAAGCACCAGCTTTCAATTAAATAAAGAATCATAAAAATCGGTCCACCCAGTCGAAAGTTATGAAGAACAAACATAAAAAAAAACCTCCTCCTTTTGAAGTCGGTTGATAAAGCACGAAAAGTTTTTCGCCGCTGTCGGAATCGAACCCACAGCTTCGGGATTCGCGCCCAGACGCATTAACCACTTAGCTGTACGGCTGATTGCCACACCGACGAAAATGGCAACGTCTTTTATCTGCGTTGTATTTCAGGCGATGCTTGAAATGCGAAAAACGGACAGCCGCAAAAAACTTTTCGTATTTTTTTCTACACATTTCAACATTGGTATATTTAAAAAAGAATGAAGCGAAAAATGAAAATGTCGAAACGTCACGACGAATTTAGTAAAACATTTTACCAACTCCCACTTTATCGACGTTTTAGTGAAGTATAGTTCCTTTTGAAATGAAATATTTGATAATATTATTTAATATTTCTTTAGTGCATTTGTTGTTCAGCCATTGGCAAGAAAAACGGGAGGAAACAAAAAATACTTTTGTATTTATAATACTTATGTATTATGCTTTAGTCGATAAAACCTTATCATGACACATAGTGAAATCTTCATTGATCATGTTAAAATGTAGGTACCATAAAGGATGTAGAAGCTGATATAGCTACGCTTTTGATCAGATGAATTGTTTTACTAAATTTAGCTTTACAGAGGTAAAAATAAGACTCAGGTTAACTTATGCGACCATGTTCCACGTATCTTCGTTCTTCGTATGAGTTAAGTATATAGATAAATATTATAAGAAACCATAAGTTTTATAAGTAAATGATAAATTCATTTAATAATATTTCACATATTATTAATAAATTCATTTACTATCCAAATGAATTCTAAAGATCTGAGAAAAATTATTAAATTAATTTCTACCTGTGTATTTGATCTTTGATTTGAACAAACACGAATCAATGACGATATTTAGCAGTTTGAAACTGTGATGTGTTTAGATTTTATGGGCACTTAACGTTCTTCTTATCAAAGAAGAAACATAAAGTCCATTATTTTTAATAAGGAAAGTAAGATGGGGCCTAAAAGTATTTGAATAATTTTAAAAGATAATTCTACTTACTCGTTACGCCAAGACAAATTCTTACTTCAAAGTAAAAATTATCTTTGTATATCCTAGTTAAAAGTAAGTCAAACAAGTCTCATGTTTTTAAACGAAAAGTTAACATCAAATGTATTTAATGTCATTTTTTCGCTATGTTAATACGTGAAGCAAAACTTTGTACCCATATTTACGAAAATTGCACAGACGGAGGAGTATGAAATTTCACACACTTATAGTTTATAAAGAGATTTTTTTTATGTGAAAAGTTGCCAAACCAGCAGACGTTTCACCTGATGTTAAGTGAATACCGCTGCCCACGAACATCTGTTACACCCGAGGGTTCCAGAGGCGTTGACAACCTTTTAAATATTGGGCTCCGGCCACCTCACTCACCAGACGAAACGCGAAAGTATTATACTTCCACTTTACGCCGGTCTTCTGTGAGGTCGTGGCTGCTGCGTGGCCCTACCACGTGATATGCGATAAGTGCAAAATGCTAATATTTTTAAACTATGCATAGAAATACATTAAATAAATTAAAAAGTTATTTTACACACTAACTTCTAAAATTAGTGCTGGTCTAATTTCGATCACTGGGATACATATTTTTATGATGTTAATTATGAAACTCTGTTGACGATTCATTATAAATTAAAATGTAATAAAAAATTAAAAAAGGAAGCTAAGTTTAAACTGAAAGAGCATACCTTTATGAAACTCGGGGGAGTTGTGGAATGGATCATAATGAAGATCTGTGATGTGCCAAAAGTAACCTGCGGAAGAAATTACAATTTAATACCTTTGTACGGAGAACTAATTTTAATTTATTTCGAGTTATTAAATCCAACAATCCGTTAGTTGTGCTATTCTTACTTATAATATTATAGACGCGAAAGTTTGTGTGTACGGATGGATTTTTGTTACTCGTTCACGCAAATACTACTGAATGGATTTTAATGAAACTTTACAATAATATAGCTCATACATCGGAATAAGACATAGGCTATAATTTATATACATTTTTTTATGTATATCTGTCTTTCTGTGTGAATGTTACGCCTTCAGCCTATTCTACGCAAACATAGTCGCGGGCAGCAGCTAGTACTAAATACATGTTAGGAGTATTATCTTCAATAGTTTAATAATTTATTACTGTAATAATAAGTTCTTTTTAATAGTTATAAATAAACCATACATAATATAATGGTATTGTTATTTCCTTTTTTTGTGCGAAAACTTGTCAAGCGGCGGTTCACCTGATGTTAAATGAATACCACCGCCCACGGGTATCTACAACACCCGATGGCTTGCTGATGCGTTGACAACCTTAAAAAATGTGGACCACGGTTACATCGCTAAACATGCGAAAGTTTATCACTTCCACGCCGGTCTTCCGTTTGAGTCCACTGCTGAACATAGGCCTCCCCCATAGACTGCCATGAAGTACGATCCTGAGCCACCTGCATCCATCGACTTCCCGCACATTTGCACAGGTCGTCACTCCATCTAGTGGGGGGTAGTCCCACACTGCGATGGCCAGTACGAGGCTGCCACTCGAGAACCTTTCTTCCCCAACGGTTATCGGTTCTACGAGCTATATGGCCGTATATGTAAATAACTTATTAGATATAAACTTACCAATTTTAGCATCAATTAAATTGAGACACAATAGGCTTGTTATGTACACGGCGAGACTATTAGGATTCATGTTAGAATGTTACATGACGGATGCCGCCTGTATTTTGGTGTTGTTCTCTTTCCTTGTGTCGTAATCATTGTACTTTATTCACAACATCTGCAACAAAGTAATATTTCATTAATCATTGCAAGCAAAGGAAATTAAAAATTAGTTACCATAGTTATTTAACGAAGATTTTATTTGCAATCAATAAATAATGAACACGCTATTGGTGCTATTAAAAATAAGTAGTTAAATCAGAGAGATCATATTATCAGACAGCGTTCACATTGCAGGAGCCTATATATAAAAAGTACTAATTCAGGGATATTTATAAAAGAACGCTGTAGCCAATTCAGATGTATCCAATGTTGTCTGTAAATTTTCCTGTATATAATTTATTTTTTTTTATGTAAGAAAGGAGAAACTAGCTGGTGGTTCACGCAATGTTAAGTGATAAGTGCTGACCATAGACATATGCAACACCCATAGAGTGCGTAGAAGGCGGTACCTTTAAATAAAGTGGGCCCCGGCTACCTCACTCACCAGACACAAGGCAGAAGTGTAACACTTCTATTTTACGACGGTCTCCTGTGAGGTCGTGGTATTTACCCGGACGGGCCCAACCATTTTTCACTGTTGCGTGGCCCTACCACAGTTTGGTTAGATCCTGTATATAAAACAACAAGTACTCGATCCACTGTAGGTGGTTTTATTCATTCAATTTGACGTAGGTTGCATATTCTATGCTCGAATTCTCGGAACTGTAAAGGTAAAATAAACATCTTCAAAGTGTAGCATAAAAAGCTCATTGATTAGTTTTAAAATACTAAGCAATGACTTTTCTACGGTCGAGATTTATCTATTCAAACTGTGTGCACAGTCTTGCACAAAGGCGAAATGATTGTTCATAATAATTTTAAGAAATTTGATAACAAGGAACCTTACAATAAAATAAAATTTAATATGTCTCATTAAAAAGTAGATGTAGTGGTGTAGAATGTGAAAATAACGCTGAGATTCGTATATTACGAGTATATTATGATACGGTTTAGTCAAGATTCGACTTTTTAAACCATAAAAGGAGCGGCCGACCTCGTACGTTTAAGACACCAGATGTCATCAAAGCAATGCGGGTGGTGAATCCCTCGGAATTCCATCCGCAAGGAAAAAATTCAGTATTTCGATTCGGGTGAAGCAAAACTACAAAAAATGAACACGAGACCCCGAGATAAGTTCAAAAGCTCAACGAAAAACAGAGCATAATCTTAATGAGCAAATAAGGTGCGAGATATCCCGGGCTTTGTTAAGCGATACGCGGGAAAAAATACCTCGAACTCCATTTTCAAAAAGAAGAAACAAAATAATAAAAGTGTTCCCACTGCAGTTAGAACTATAAATGCCGAAAAGCTTAACTTTTTGGTCATTGATAGCTTAGTTTTGAATCTCGTATTCAGAGCTAACTGAGGTGTTTTTCTGTGAAAAAGGTGTAAAAACCAGATTTGCTGTGCATCAAAATACCGTTCGTAAAAATTGTGAAAAATCTTTTTAAAGCAACGTTCGAAAATAGACAATGAGTATTCCAATATGATTCGGCGGCTTTTCATTGGTACAACAAGCACAAAAATGGGAATATCACTCTTGGAAGCGACTTCAACAGGCACGATGAGTCCAGTCCAGATCTTCCAGTTTAGACTTTGTCATAAATCCGTTCGAATTTATACAAAATATGGCAAAATTAAAATATATAGTAAAGAGTAGAAAGCCTGCGTAAACCTCACCCGATTTCGAAGACTCTTAAAACGTTTTGAAGCGGTAGCAACTGAACTCAGAGGTTGAGGGCCATTGTTTTGTGGTATCGAGGGGGAAATCTTCCCTGTCATTACATAACAGATTTATATAATGACAGCGAAAGATACCCTGTCATTACATGACAGGTTTATGTACCCTACATAAACCTGTCATCTTACTCCCTAAAACCCCCTCGGTGGCCACCTTATGTACGTTTGGAGGGACTCCAGGATCTCCTACTTAACGCATCGGTATCCCTCGGTACTGGGCATAGCACGCCTAGGATAACTTCCCCGATTGCCTCGCCATCTTGCAGCAGCTCGAGGCCACTTCGTGCTGCTGCCAATCCGTGTTCCCTTTTAGTTGCCTTTAACGACAGGCAGGAGATATCTTAGTCCTATTCTATGAGCCGGGGACTACAGGATTGACGGGGCAGCACGTCTGCCCCTGCCGGCCTGGCGCTGCCGTCACCAAGCGGGATAGGAGGACCAACCCCTTTCTGGCCAAGCAGTATTCTTCCCCAGCGCAACTGTTATTGCTGCTGAAGGAGAAAGATCCTCCTCTATTTTATGTACCAGGATCCGTCGCTCGGAGTCCCATGCAGAACACTCAGCTAGTGTATGTTGCAGGGAGTCCCGTTCCCCACCAGAAGGTTGAGGCCCTAGAGAGGATAAAAGGATGTCAAAACTGACAATATGAAAATCATATATTTTTTTCTACAAGTTTTAATATTAAAATCATTTCAATAATCCATCACACCATCAACAATATCGAAATCTACTTTATCCTAAGAATGATTTTTTGTTGTGCTTCTTATTTTTGCTATGGTAATACCGTGAATTGTGTACGCGCATCGTGAAAATAGTTACTCTCAAAATGTTTTTCTACACGCGCCATACAAAGTATAAAATCAAAAACGGACTTGATTTTTTTCTCTAGATCATTTTCATATTTATAATTAATATTATTGATAAACAGAGGAATAAAAGTCATTATTTGGTCGGAATGTTTTGGTAACATTTAACTACTCACTGCACAGTATAAAACAAAGTCGTCCCGCTGTCTGTCTGTCCCTATGTATGCTTAGATCTTTAAAAGTAGATCTTTAGTCGTGAAATAAAATGCTTTCAAAAATCACCGTGATTATTGACTTTTTTTAAACTGTACTATGTTCCCATACGTCCCTCTAATAAAAAATTATTTAAATTACCCATGAATTTGTTCATTTATGATACATGGACTTGGTAAAGATAGTGCAAAAAAGAAGCATATATTATATGTGATATATTGGACAGGGAATCTGTACAAAATCGTATTATATATTCATATTTACTAATATAACGTACAAAATCGCCCACCAAACAAATCGTCACTTGTTTCCTATGGGAACTAAAAAAAATGTCGTGTGCCAATATAAAATCAACAATCAGCGACTTGTTAGGTATGTTTTGATATAAATAATTGTATTTACATATTTATTTACATTGTATTTATATATATTTATACAATTTTACAGAGTTCGTAAAAGACAAACCGCGTCAATATAGCCACAAGAAATCGAAAAATATACATAACAAGAAATACCTACATTGAAATCCTGCGGAACTGATATTACCTTTATATTTTGCCTCTTTTTACTTTGGAAAATTTATTTAAAGCAACACAACGTTTCCCTAAAAGTTCTGCTTGAAGCTCAGTAATTGTTCTTGGAATCATATAAAATTTAGGACCATGCCCTAACTTTCCTGTCGTTTCCATTTATCCGTTATTTTCGCAGAAGCAGAGCTTTTTTATACGAATCTGATGTGGCTTGTTGTTTCTTTTCTCGGCAAATAGCTCGGTTTCAATTAAAGTTAAATACTCCAGGCAACAAAATGAGTGGTTTCATAAAAAGACTGTACACAGTTTCCAAATGAGTTCCTCGGTGCAATGTCGCCCAGAAAACAAACTGAAATTATTGCTTGACTGAAATTAATGTTAATTTTTCAGTGACTTAAAACTTCAGCTCAAATATGTTTTTAAAGGCTTTTCTAGAGATTGAATACTATCAACCAAAGATATTCAATTGTATAATATATTTAGCTCATTTTATTTTTTGTAAAAATATTTACGTGTCCGAATAATCATTAGGTTTATGCTTCTGAACTTAACATGTTTTATTTTGCTCTTATTTTGAACCAATGCAATAATTAAAAAAAACGTAAAATTGCTTATTTTAAAGGGTGAGGCTGCATTATTTGCTAAGTACGTGTATCTGTATACGGTATTATTAACGTTATTAAATTTTAATGAAAGTAATTAATATAGAAGCTTACAGAATTTTATCGCAAGAACATACAGAGCACTTTGATCGAGATTCTACGCGAAAAATTTAAAGAAATTTATGAAGTCAGCAGGTTTTTGTTAAGACCAACAACCAGCGAAGATTTCGCCCCTTGAGTGAACTACACATAAACATAAACATAACACGAGGCGCACTCGACTGTGCCCCTTGAAACGGTCAGTGTGATGGACAAATGGGTACTCGACATGAGCTAGTCGAACCTCTAGATGGTATATGGTACAATTTTACACAACAACGCTTATAGACAACAAGAAAACGCTTACAGACCACCCTTAGACACTAATGTGCTTAACTTTTATTTATACTGCATTTTAGGAAATAAGATGAGAATGATAGAATAAAATCACTTTTTTTGATAAGTGTTTAAGAAGTACTTGTTAGCAATATCACGATACTATCATATTTTAGTTTAGGTTTTACGATAGTTTTTACGGTATGCAAAACCATTAAATAAGTACGAATACACACTATAACAATAATACTTTGACAAAATCAGGCAAAAATCGCTGTCGTTTATGACTTGGAATACTATTAACTTGTTCCACTCAACTAGCGATCTCAGCTCAGAGAGATCGACGGACAAATGTTGGCAATGTTTGAGTGCAAATGAGGTTTTTTGTTGACTGTGCCCTAATAGTGGTCGAAATTGGAGCAACCTAAAATCCAGAGATTATTTTTGTTATAAGACACAAGTTAGAAAAGGACGAAACATTTATTAAAAAAATCTGATTAATGAACTGTATATGTAATACACTTTAACTCAATATTAATGCAATCGATATTTATAAAACTTGCGTTTCATTACTTAATTCCTTCTCAAAACCGGAATTCATAAAAGTAAAACGTGGCTGATATCGTATTGAACGTTGTATATATTCGTAGATATACGTTGTAT